GTGGTGTGTGAGGCTCGCGGCGGCCATTTTGGTTCATAAAGATGGTAGTTACATGAATCACCTGGTTACTGGCACTGTCATTCCTCAATTTGACTCATTTACAGAATCTGTGTCCATCACGCTTGACTATAATTTAGTTATTTTACTTGCCAGAAAAAGAATATCTGTCATCTGTACCCTTAGTTCACCATTGATTTAAATTAAACAGTTTGGCAAGAGGTTAATAACTTTATTTTTAGATGAAAATGTGTAAAATACCATAACATTACCACCAAACACATTCATGACATATTACACTAAAGTCAGCTGATGTTTCTCAGTATTGATCTGCTCCGGTTTAAGTAAAATGTTTTCATGTATTTGAGCAAAAACATGTCTTGTCTCAGTAAAGATATTTTGTATAAGTAGCTCTTGAACTCAATATGAGTTTGCTGTGTACTGTCTGCATCAAATTATAAAGTATGTGGTTAGCATGCTAGTTGTTGTTTTGCTTTATCATGGCGGTAAGCGCTTCATGGTGCATAATTAGGACACACAGAATGCATAAGGTAAGTGAGGAATAACTTTGAACAACTGCAAAATTAACTACCATATTTTTCGGACTATAAGGTGGACCGGATTATAAGGCGAATTAAGCAAACAAATGACGACACTTGAGACCGATCCCTTAGCCCAGACATCCACGATCCACTGGCAGATTGTGGAGTAACTCGCCTGGCGTTGCCTGCCTGTCTTGGTGAATGTGTATTATGAATGTGAATGTGGGTGGACAATTTAAGGTTGTTTTTTATTTCCTACAAGGAGGACTCAAATATACATTGAGTAATTCAGCTTGGAGCACATTTATTTACATTTTACAGAAACAAACGTTAAAACCACATGGCTAATTTGCATAAATTATAAGCCTGAAAATAAAAACAGTTTGCTCCTCATGCGCTGATGTGGTGTCGGACTAAAGGACACGACTCAGTGGAATATGAGTGTTTTTTTTTCTGTGACAGAGGATGTGCTGCTGATGGTGACTCTCTTCTGTGCTTCTATTACGTTGGAGATGGTTTATGTGAAACTTTTCAGAGATTATTATTATTATTAGACTCCACGAGGCTCCTGACTACAGTAGCCATAAAGCTCTGACTATCCATCAAGCGGTGCGGATTCATAGCTTACCAAAGTCGTACTAAAACATTTTGACAGATTTTTGCACACCGTGTACCACGTAAAAGCGGTTTGAGGTCAGTACATACAACCAGAATTAGTACATAAGGCACAGGTTCGAATTTTTGAGAAAATTAAAAGATTTTAAGTGCATCTTAGAGTCCGAAAAATACAGTAGTTGTTTTTTCACATTTTTAAGGAAAATCAAGTGCAGAAATTTGAAAAAAGAAAACTGATAGATGTAGTTTGTCCGTGTATGTGTTGCAGTAAGTGACCAACATTTGAGTGCACTGTATACATTTGCATTGACTTGCCGCCCACCCGCCCATCGCTCTCCCACACACAAACACACACACACGCACACACACACACCCACCCACACACACACACACACACACACACATTAGCTCTCCTGTCATTATCCGCTCTGCTCTACCGTGTTGCCACAGAGAGCAGCTAATCACAGGGCATGGCTAGGCTTGCTCGGGGCTATACTAACCACCAGCGCTCCATAAATCAGCACTCAAGGTTTTTAAAAGTTCAATTTAACTCTTTTAATAAAAAACACTGCCACGAGGAGGAAAAACCAGAACCAAATGTACATGTGTCCAGTCACATCTCCACATGCTTCTCTTACAAATGAGGGCCATTATTTTCTGGACGGTTATACGACTTGAGTCAAACTTGTCAAACTGGCGACAATGTGCTTTAGAGGTGGGAGAAGTACAGTTAAGTATATGAAAAAACAGAATATCAAGCATATGCCTGTGTTTATAACTATGGAAAATATCTTCAAAAAGAGACAGAAAATGTATCTCCAAACAAGAGTATAAAGTGTTATTTCCGCATTTTTGTAATTAATTTTATAGTCAGTTCATGCAATAATTGAACCTAGAGTTGTAAAAAGTATTGAAAATCAGATACTAATCGATATTAAATCTAGTATCAAAACTAGATACTGACATGAGCAGGTATAGATACTAAAAAAGTCAATTTCACAAAACAGAAATGAACCTTTGCAGAACAGCTCCAGAATAAAACACCAAAGGATTACAAAGATATTAAACCACATGATAATAAAAGAAAGAACAATTATTTAATCTTGAAAATCACATTATATTGTCTAAAGATTGATTTTATTATCATTGTGGTATCGGAATCGGTATTGAGTTTATTCCTTAGTATCAAAATTGAGTATAAAGAAATGTTAGCACCTGAAACTTGATTCAATATATATACATTTTTGTCAGTTTCTTATATAATGCTATCTATCCACTTTTTATACCACACATGGAGACAGGAGACAAGTTTATTTCGAGCATCACTCAAAATAGAAATGGCATGTTTAATGTTTTATTGCCTTTTATACATCACATATTGAATCTGTTCCTGTGGCTTTGTTCCCTTTATGGAGGCACACAGATGTTTGTACTGATCCGGACCAGTCGGAACTGATTTACTCAAATATGAAACAGAGCTTTGGCAGACGGGATCCCTACACACTACTGCCTTTGCCTTCACAAGCTCACAGATACATACAGTAGATACATATGGTTTTATATATTCTATAAATAGACACCTGATTTGGGCACACATTAGCAAACATGAAAAGTTGAAAAAATTGGATTTAGACACCACAATTTTCAGGATCCTATTGTTCTTGGTCCCATTAAGGTGTTTAATTTTCAGCAAAACAGATGAGTGCAATTAAATGAAAAAACTGTGGGTAAGATGGTTTGCAATTGTAATATAATCTGGGTTTGTACCGTACATAACATGCAACTACGCCAGTTCTTTATGATCAGATTGTGTGAAAACAAAGAACAGTAAAGTCTAACTCGAGAAAAAGAGCTTCAGACAGACCAGTGCTTCCAGTTAGGGTCACATCCTCAGAGAGTGTCCACAAGGGATAAAACAATGTTAAACTTTTAAGTGCGGTGGAACTATGCAATACTGTTTTGGGGTTTTTTATGTTATTTATTGTGTTTTAATTGTTGTTTGTACAGCGTCCTTGAGCATGGTCACTTCCTATTCACTTCTCAATTGGCAACATAAGGCAAACTGAAAATTCCGATGCATGTAAAACGACCACACTCTTATAATAATCTCTAGAATAATCCTCAAGTGAAAATTCACAAATGTCCCTTTGAGTGCGATCACAGTGTCACAGAGGCGGTTTGCTAACTGCTAAATATTCATGAGCATATGTGCAGGCCGAGCAGATCAATGCTTATATCTGTGCAAATTGGATCCTGAGACACTATGTTGACTTCCAGACCTGGCTGGGCTTGTGCACTGAGATAACAACAAGAAGCTGCAAGTCACCGGTGCCCCGGGCTCCTAATAAGTCAAGGGTAAACAAATGTACGCTTTTACAATCGCTACGCCAACACAGGGGCAGTTAGGGTCGTGTTTGTTCATATTCTAAGCCATGTATTTTTACGTTTTATCTTATCACTAAGGCATGTTAAATGATATAAAACATGCAATATGTCATTTTTCTGGAGGGAGGAGGAATATTGCAAAGCCTGAAATGTATAGTAGTATGGCAGTAAACGTTTCTTTCTTTATTGTTACTGTGAGCAGAGTCGCTTCTCCATAAATCTAACCTGTTATTTGCCCTGCCTGGACCACCTGATTGTCTCCACAGAGAGAGAAAAGTTAAATGAAATGAAATGAAATGATGACATTTTCATGGAAAGTAAGTAACAGAAAGAAGTTACATAGTGCACCCTTAATTTGAATAATTATCTGCATGTTGCAAATTAGCAGAGCTAAGAGTAAACCATTTCATTCATTATGAAATTAGAAAGACAACATTAAATAAACTTATAATACTTTACTTTTTCTTCATAATAATTTACCTGCCTTCTGATTATATATATATATATATATATATATATATATATATATATATATATATATATATATATATATATATATATATATATATATATATATATATATATATATATATACTACTATATATTTTGTGTTTGTGCCAAATATTTTCATAAGAAGCATGAAACAATATTCAAACAATATCTATTCTGACCCTATATGTACAGTATGTGACCATGCACAGCAAGATAGATTCTCATGATATATGTGCAATCACAAACTCATGAGAATCCATCTTGGCATGCGCCTGCTGTATGATTAATTGGACGGATGCACCAATCTCAGGACAACATTGAAGTTTGTGAGGAAGCCAAAAGCGAAGCGCCCAAATGAACCAAAACAAACATTGTGATGCCAGCAGACATACTTCAGTCTGTTTTCGTGTCAATATGGACTATTTTGTAAGGTCCACACTAGGGCTGGATATCATTAAGATGTTGCCGATATGATACGTATCTCGATATAGTGAGCTTTTGATTCGATACAATTTATTTCAAATCGATTCGATACAATTCATTAAAAAAATAATGGCTAAATGATGGCTGTGACACTAAAAGTCTTTGTTAAACCACTTCTTATGCAAAGTGAATATGAAACACACCATTTTTAGTCCTCAGAACAAAATGAAAATGTGAAAATGTCAAATGTGTTGCATAAATGAGTTTCCTTCCTCTCAACAAGCACCAAAACTGTAGCGCTGTAAGAAAAATAATTTAGTAAAATATACCAGAAAATACTCTTGGTGATATCACATTAAACAATACAATATATCGATATTTTGATATTTTTGCACACCCCTAGTATGCGCTCAGTGAATTTGTGAACAGGAAAGATGCTTTTTTTGGATTTTTCGTCTTGTTCTGCTGTTGTATCATTTTGACCAATCAGATTCAAATAGTCGTCATGACACTCATAAAATGTCTCATTTCATCCAAACCACTCACCTGCCCGGCTTGTTGATGTACTTGTGCAGTCTTGCTTTGACTTCGTCGTAGGTGAGAAAGGCCATGTACCCCGGATGTGTCACAGCTAAGAAGTTCCAGTTCCTCAGAATGGATCCCCACGGCTGCAACACAGACCACCAATAAAGTCAAACCCCAACGCCACCATTTTTCACACCCTCACAACATCCCTGAGATGAAAACAAATATGCCGACTTGGCTGTGTCTGATCCTCTGGCCGACGCTAAATTAAACAATAACTCGTGATAGCCTGTGATATGAAGCCAGATTGGCCACTCGCATTTTGGAAAGAGGCAGGACGCAGAGTGCCCAGTTGTTTTTGGAAGACTTTACTGGTGCTTTGAGGTTTTCTGCAGTGAAAAGATAGCCCCATGCCAAGCCATCTGAAGCAGAGACAATAAGAGGACCCTCCATTGCTGTTGAGGCAGTTTTGGCTACATGGTTTTAACTAGCATTCCTCATATTGATCGATTTCAATTTTGTTTTTGTTTTTTATAGCAAAATAAAAAAAATAAGTATTGACATGGACAAAACAGACTTTAAATGGGTGGATTTTAACACAACAAATATCAAAATGTATTCCTCCAAATTAACAACTCCAAAATACATGCTTTCACTGACAGAGGATTAACTGTAGCTGATTGTTGACTATAAATCTCGGCCATGATTTAAATTCAATTAAATGCCCGACCGTTGTATTAAAGGCCCTGTACCCGATTTTTAGGCTACAGATGTCAGTATGCGGTCTGTCTAATTAAAAAGTGTTTTATTGTCCAATAAACAGGAAGTACTGGTCACTGAGAGTTGTGAAAAGCACTTATGAATAATTAGGATGCTCGGAATGCATAACGTAAGTGAGGAATCATTTTTGGACCACTACAAAACTTTGAAAATGAACTAGCTCTGTTTTTCATGTTTTTTAAAGACAGTAAAAATCAGGTACTGCAACTTTAAAGGGGCCGTATTATGTTATTTTCTGATCTATGTTATAAGGTTGTTTCCTCACCAAAAACATACCTGAAGTTGAGTTTTGTTTCATTGACACATGTTTAATATGGAAATGCTGCATATTTAGTTCTTCTCTCAAACAGAAAACACTCTGTTCCACCTTGTGATGTCATGTGGTAATACAGGAGGTGCTTCACTGTGTTTTTAAACTCTGTACCTCTTCACTAGAGTCATTTGGATAATTTGATAAAAAGCCCTGGAATTGCCGATTTTTACTGGAAAAAAAAAAGTAAAAGGAGCTGTTAACTTCAAAACTACTGCTTCATGACATCACAAGGTGGAACGGAGCATTTTGACCTTTGGAGATGTAGACAGACTAATAATAAAGGGTGACTCAAACATGTGTAAATGAAACAAAACACAACTTCAGGTGTGTTTTTGATGAGGTAACAGCATTATAGAAAGTGAGACAAAGCCTACACAGTTACTCCCAAACATTTTGATTAGTGGATCTTCGTCAGGTCATTATAACATGGCTTAAAGTTCACAAGACTCCATTTCGCATAATATAGCGCCTTTAATAAACAAAACCTAACTTCACACGGACACATACACGTTTTTATCTAACCACAAACAGAACATGAAACTGAAAACATAAATTTCACATCTGTAACTTTAACGAACACCTCGCTAGTTGGTATACGTGGGTGGTACATTGGTTTGACATTTGCTAGTGAGCTCCAGACTGCAGGCTAATTGCGCTGGCATTGATGGAGAAGCGGTTAGCCCAAATGAAGAGCTGAAGTTAGGGGGCCATTGTGTATGGACGAGGCTGTTAATGCCAGCTGGCTGCCTGTGACGCCAAGTGCCACAGCATCTCTATAGTGTGTGTTTGCCCAATGTAGACAATGATCCAGTGGGCAGACCACAAGGACGCACTGGCATGAGACACACGCTGAACTGGCTCCTGGGTTTGTTAATAGCACTGGAGGGAGAACACTCAGAAGAATGATTACAGAAAATGGCTTTAACGTTGTCCTTCAAGGTCAAATTAAGGACATGGGATTAAAAAATTAGCTGAAATTATTTGATGATGAAAAGTAATTAAGATGCCTAATAGTCACAGAAGTTTGAAGGTGCCTTGTGTGACTTTTCTGGTCAAATGCTTTTCATCATGGAGATGTTATTACTTTGTCTGAAATGTATCACAGTATGGTATTAAACCTTTCTATCTTTACCAAACCAGACCAAGTTACAGGTCAGAGCTGTGGAGAGGCACCCCCACTCAATCAGAATGCCTGTTTTACTAGGTATTTTTGAGCTAAACAACAAACAAACAAACAAATAAACACCTGTAATTGAATAAATGTAAGGTATCCACAGAAACAAGCAGGTGATGGACACCCAACCAAAAAGTTACACATTGCATCTTTATGAAAAAACTATAGAATATTGCATGAATATGACCTATCTGTGTCTGTGAAGTAAACATAATAAAAAACTAAACAAAAGCGAGTGCACTTGCAAGCATAAAAACATTATAATAATGTACAATGTGTTAAAATTCTCAACACGATTTTGTAATCACAAAGATGTAAAGGTTTAGTTTGCCAGATATGATCGACAAAACCCAATTCACAGTATGCCAGCTTTTCTAAGCTCTGATTGTAGTAAATCAGTAAAGTTATCAAGATTCAAGATTTTATTGCCATTGTCAGATATACATAGATAGAAAACATCTAAATTAAATTTAGACCATCAAACACTGTATAGTTTTGATGTAAAGTGCAGTACCACAGTGCAAGACCAAGGGATGTAAGGATATCCAACCCTCTTGATACGATATTCTCACGATATCCATCTCACGGTACGATATTTATTGCGATATTTTGTGGAGGCAAAAAAAATAAAAAAAATTGTGAGTATGCAACTTTTCTCTCATCACAATTCAAATAATTAAGATTTAAAAGTGCTTCATAACAGTCATTTCAGCATGTAGATTGGACTGAAACAGAGCAAAGGATCATGGTCTATGTAGTTCTCACAGTTTTTTTTAGCTCTTGCTGCATCAAATCAATTCATTTAAGCAGAGACACTTGAGATTCGATATATTGTGACGGCCAATGATATTACTGTGACACTTTTGACGATACTATATCACGATACTTCGATTATTATTACGTCCCTAGCAAGACCTAATTCCCATCATTTTTAAAATCAGTAGAAACACAATATTTCAGGCTCACTGTTTGAGTTCACTTGTATTATGTCATTACCTTCAAAGCAGCCACATGCTTAAATGTGACTGATCCACTGGCAAAACTGTAGGACCTTATTATTGGAAATGAAAATACATCTAAAACAAAGAGCCCACAGAGAGCTATAAAAGTCACAGCTATGAATACTTTTATTAAACTCCTCCCGACACTCCATATCTAATTTGCAAAAGAGACCTTCAAATCTAAGTTTTCTCTCTTTATTATAGTCCTTTCTTCATCTGCAATCTTTTCACCTGGAGCCGAGGGCAGCAGGTGTGAGCGCTTGGCTGGAAATCTAAACCTCGGTCTTTGGTGCTGAGGCATAAAAGAGCACTGGGCTGTGGTTGAGACTCACACCAAATTGCTACATAATGGTGACTCATTTTGGCAGTTGGACGATTTGGGTTTTTACTCATAATCCTATTCACCTTTCACCAGCATACGTTTCCATCAGACATGTAAAATATTTCACTTTATGGTTGAATAACGAAAAGGAATAAAAATTTGAGTAAGCAAATTTGTCAAACTGGAAAAACTGCAATTCTTTAGATAATAGAATGTATGTGCGCTCTCTCTTTTAAACATCCTGAATTATGCAAAATTTACTCTTTTGAGCGTTTGAGATGTTATAATGTTGTTACCTCTTCAAAAATATACCTCGAGGTGTGTTTTGTTTCATTCACATATGTTTGAGTAATCCTGTATATAAGTCTGTCTACATCTTCAAAACTCAAAATGCTTATAATGTCATGAAGCTCTAGTTTTCAATTTAAGAGCTCCTTTTACTTTTAGTTCAGTAGCGACCGGCAGTTCCAGGGCTGAAATTATCCACATGTTTCTAGTGAAGGTGTGTGGAGTTTAAAAACACAGTGGAGCACTTCCTGTATTATCACATGAGATCAAACGGTGGATCAGACTGTTTTCCGTTTGAGAGAAAAAGAGAAGGACTCAGCCTAAATACGCAAAGTTTGTGTTTTAAAAATGTGTGAATGAAACAAAATACATCTCCAGAAACAACATGCCCTTTAAGAGAAGAAAATCTTGTTGTACCTGTAGTTTAAACTTTGGTCCTCTACAAACATGTTCTGAAACACACTGGATTCTTGTATTCGTTTATCAGTTCATATTTCAGTCTTTTCTCAAATGTTATTCTGAAATTATTTACAATGTGCAGTCGAACCAGAATCCTACATTTTAAAAACGAAATGATCTCTGACTTATAATAACGGGTTATAGATGATATTTGGAATTGAAAAAAAAAACTCTTTTAGGTTGCCTGCCTGTGGTGACTCAGTGGGATTGCGATTAACCTTGACGCCATTTATTATTTATACGGAGCATTTATTAATATTGATGAGAGTAAATAGACAGAAGACATTCAAAGCCCAGGTGCAAAAACAATGTGAAATGTGTGGTATTTTCCCTGAGAGGATTAACTATCAGCGCCTAGTTAGTCATAAGAGTCTCATTTTGTCTCTTTGTCCCCAAATCAGTTTCAGCTTCGCTTCTGCTTCCCACCTAAATGCTCTAGTCATGATTCAAAAGGCCAAAGGCATTTCTGAGACCACAAAGTCTGTTAAAAATGTGATATGTATTAACTGATTGGCATTTAAAGGTCCTATATTACGCAAATGTGACTCTTTAAGACATGTTAGAATGTTGTTGTCCTTGAAAACATACCTGGAGTTGTTAAATAGAAAAAAGGATGGCAGAGACACTCTGCTTTGCGGTGTATTTATTAATTGTCGCGCCAACACGATTCACCTACTTAGTCTTCATCAGGGCTGATGGAGTGAGCAGCAGGTGTGACTATTTATAGGGGTCAAGACCCTAGATATTTGATAAAAAGATTAAAAAGAAAATATCCAAAAAAACACTCTACATGTTGAATCCAAGCATTTTGACCTGGAGTTGTGTATTGTTTCATTCACACACGTTTGAGAAATCCTGCGTTATTAGTCCTTCAACATCACAAAAACTGAACATGCTCTCTTCCACCTTGTGATGTCATGATGCGGTAGTTTTTAAGCAAACAGCAACCTATTACGGGAGAAATTCAGTTTGTCAACTGGACAAAAGTTTATCTGGTAGAATAACTTTTACTGTTTGCTCAGCAGAGACTGTCAGTTCCAGGGCTGAAATTATATAAATTATTCATTCTAGTTAAAGTGTATAGAGTTCAAAAACACAGTTGAGCATACAAAGTTGAAAAAATTGAAGCACTCAAAAAGTACAAAATAAAAAATAAAAAAAAAGCCTTTAATACTACATGACAGATAAAGTTAAAATTACGCCAACGTGTTTCAGGCTTTCGGCCTTTCGGCCTTCATCAGGGCAAAATGATCAGTCTGCCCTGATGAAGGCCGATTATTTTGTACTTTTTGAGTGCCTCAGATTTTTCAACTTTATATTTGAGATTGAGATCCCTACACTGAAGAGCACCAAAGGGACAATTTTCCACAATCTCTGTACATCCAAGTAGCACTCCTGCCCGCTAAAGTTTTACACAGTTGAGCACTTCTTGTATCACCACATGACATCACAAGGTGGAACAGTGTTTTCTGTTTGAGAGAAGAGCTCAGCTCAAATATGCAGCATTTGTGTGTTAAACATGTGAGAACAGAACAAAAGACAACTCCAGGTCTGTTTGTGATGAGGAAACAACATTGTAACATGGATCAGAAAATGGAATAATATGGGCCCTTTAATCCCTTATTGGGCTGCATATCTGACAACTGTTTTATATTGCAATGACAATATTGTTGCAAAATTTAATATACTTTTTGACACAATGAGTTCAGCCTAAGTTCACTTTACTTTCTGTGCAGAGTTTGCATGTTTTCTCCTGGTGTCAGGGTGGGTTTCCTAAGGGCACTCTCGTTCCCCCATCAACCCCAGGCACAACAGGTAAAATCCTCCAGCTAAAGTAGGTCTTACTTACTAGCTCCCCACTGCTTCTCGTTGCCATGCCAACATAAAATGATGGGTCAAATGCAGAGGACAAATTTCCCTTTACACAATAGGGCCCATATTACACTATGTTCAGGTCTGTTATAATGTAGTTTCCTCATCAAACACAAAACCGGAGTTGTGTTTTATTTCATTCACACATGATTAACACACAAACCCTGCAGATTTAGTTCATCTCTCAAACAGAAAACACTTTGTTCCACTTTGTGATGTCATGTGGTAATACAGGAAGTGCTCCACTGTGTTTTTAAACTCCATACACATTCATTAGAACCATTTTCACTAGATGATTTCAGACATGGATTTGCCAATCTCTACTGAACAAAAGGTAAAAGGTAGCTGTTGACTTCAAGACCAGCACTGCCTGACATCACAAGGTGGAACAGAGCAATTTGCGCTTTGGAGATGTAGATGCAGGATTAATCATATGTGTGAATGAAACAAAACACAACTCCAGGTATGTTTTTGATTATATTAGATTGTATTTTATTTAGATTTTGATTATAACAACATAGAAATCTCACAAGAGTAAAATATGGGAGCATTTTATTATTTACTCAATAAAATGTATCTTAATCTTAAAATAAAATCTTAAAATCATACTTTTAGTTACAAGTCAAAATAAAAACTTAAAAAAAGACTAAACCATGACCAACCCAACTGTAGCATAAGGAAAACATTTCATTCGTTTTAGTCAGATGGAGAACTTTGTGTTGTTGCCAGATATTTATTTTCTGTATCAATAATTGCGCCAGCCAATACTACAAGATCGATATAATGTACAACGCTAATCCTCTAGATTTATTTTAGGAAGATATAAATAAGACTCTGTGACACTAATCCCAACCGAATCCAAGCTAAAGTCTCATTTTTCACGGCAGGACGGAGCACGCTACAAAAGGCAACAAAAGGTTCTGCCAAAACACAACATGGCTCAGAGGCCCGGACGCCCACACAGCATCTTGAGGCCACATGAGCCGCTAATCTGTCGACACGAGGAGGAGAAAGCCAGTCACATCCACTGCTCTGGAGCAAATACTGCAGTGGTGGAAAGTAACAAAGTAAAAGTAGTAAAGCGCTGTACGTAAAGGTGCACTGTGTAAGTTTCTGGTGGAGGGTCCGCTCTCTCTGTGGTTTTGTGGAAATGTTTTTTTTTTTTGTCTAGAACGACCCACAGTATGGCATTAAACTTATCTACTTCCACGGAGACAAGCAATGTTTCCGGACCAAGTTACAGGTCAGATCTGTGTTTTTTGTAGTATTTTTTATTGACAGTCCAATAGAGATGACAGTTACAAGTCACAAATGTACAATCTGCCCCCTTGATTAGTTTCTTTCACCTCACATATCTCTCTACTACAGTATTGAAAAAAAAAAGTCTTTCTTTTTTTTCTTTAAGAATACAAAGTAAAATAAAAAAAACAAGAAAAAACTAATATTTGAACCTTTAAGTAGCAGTGGACAGAGAATGTCACTGATGTTCCTTTTTTTTTTTTATGTTTGCATGTTAATAAAGTCTTTCTGTGGTTTCCAGCTTTCCTCATACCTGTCCTATTCCAATCTTTGTGTGAGTGTCAGTCTTTGTATTTGTGAAACGTCTTTGACAATGTTAATCCAGTCCTCCAAATTCAGTAGTTTGTCAGTCATCCATTTTTTGGTTATAGCTTTCTTCCAGAAGAATGTTCCACATATTTTTTTTGTTCCTTTGACGTCATCTGTCTGTTTGCCCAAAAACATAGTTTCAAAATTTAAAGGGATCTTTAGTCTAAATGTTTCCTCAATGTTTTGTTTAATTTTCTCCCAATATTGATTCAGTTTGGGGCAGCTCCAAAAAACCTGATAATGCCCAGCTTTTTTAATTCCCACAGTTTTTTGTAGAATTTTTGAGCAGTAAAACACCTGTGTCACATTGTGAAACCGGCAAACCGAAAATATCTCCATAGAAACAAGCTCATGGCAGACACCCTATCAGCAAAGTTACACAGTGCATCATTAAGTACACATTTTAGATATTTGTACTTTACTTAAAAGTGCACTCTGTAACTCTGTTTAACCCCTCACTTTCTTGTTTCTATGGAGATGTCGTTGCCCATCTTAGAATGTTCCACAGTATAACGTTACACAGCTCTATTTACATTTATTCATTTACAGGTGGTGTTATAGCTCAAAAATACCTAGAAAAACAGGCGTTCTGGCTGAGTGGGATCACCTCTCCACAGATCTGACCTGTAACTTTGTCTAGTTTAGTCTCCGTGAAGATAGAAAGTGAAACATTCTAGACAAAGCAATAACGTGTCCATGGAGAAAAGCATTTGATGGACCCTCCACCAGAAAAGTTACTCAATGCACCTTTAAAGATGCAAACTAATCACTCAAGTGTTTCATTCTGCTATTTATTCATTGTGCCACATATTTTATCAATAATACTGTACATTTAGAATAGTTTTGTTATTGTTGTTATAAATTGTTATCGTGACAGACCTAACCAGTGCTGCTCCCTCTTTGCTCCTGTACTGTTGTAATCAAAGGACTGGAAAAGTTTTTGATCATGCGCTCGGCTCCTCTGTGTGTTTTGTGAGTTGGAATAATTGGTAGCGAAAATAGAAGGGCAAAAAGTCGTCTGCATCAACACACAAACTCAACCTGTGCCTTTATCGTTCATTAGAAGAGGAAGAAGGAGGGAAGTTTTTTTCACTTGTGACTGGGCTGAGTTCACTTTTTCTGGTTCAAAACATAAATGCCTTTATTCGAAAAGGTCACAGTTAGTCTGTGGGGGTGTATACAAATCTAGTATGCAGTGCAGCTTGTACTCTGTCATCACTTATTTTAGTATAAATATTTAAAGCTGTATTACTTGCCTTAGGATAAAGTAGATATTTAAATCTACCTAACGAGTTCCTATAGCCATGCATAGGGCTCTTTCTACTGAATTTGCAGTGGACAAAAGCCCACACTGTTTTCTGATCTGTTATAATGTTGTTTCCTCATCCAAAACATACCTAGAGTTTTGTTTTCTGCAATCCTGCATATTTAGGTTGAGTTTGATCTGAAGATGCCATGTAATATTTGAAGTACTTGACTGTGTTTTTAAACTCCATGCACTTCCACTAGAATCATTTGGATAATTTCAGCCCAGGAATTTCTAAGTCCTACTGAACTAAAAGTAAAATGAAAATGTAGCTATTAACTTGAAAACTACCATAACATGACATCACAAGGTGGAACAGAGCATTTTGAGCTTTGGAGATGTAGACAGACTAATAATAAAGGGTTAATCAAACAGACAGACACAACAAAAACACAACTATGTTTTTGAGGAGGCAACAGCATTATAAAATGGATAAAGGCTCAAAAGAATCAATTTTGTGTAATACAGGACCTTTAAAACTACATTCATTTTTAAGAATAAAAGATGGTTACCCCACAGTAACATTTTTTAAGACATCCTTTGTAGTACTGCACCATTGTGTGTGTGTGAGTGTCTGTGTCTGTGTAGGTGTGTGTGTTTGTGTACCTGAAAAAGGCGTGTGAAAATGTCAAACTCAAACACAGAGATGTAGTCGTTACAGGTGAGGTCGATCGTGGACTTGAGGGCCATGGCCTCCAGACCGGAGCTGATGGGGTGCACCTCATGAAGGCACTGTCGGAACACTTTCCATGGTACGATTGTCCTGCAAAAACAATAGACATTTTTACTTTGGTAACTTGTTTTCCATAATAGTAATTTCTTAAAAGGGCCTATTTTACACTATTTTCTTACTTATGTTATATATAGTATAGTTTCCTCATCACAAACATACCTGAAGTTGTGTTCAGTTTCACTCACACATGTTTAAACACACAAACCCTACATATTTATGCTGAGGTCTTCTGTCAAAACTGAAAACATACTGTTCCACTGTGTAATGTCATGTGGTAAAGTGTTTTTAAACTCCATACACCTTCACTAGAATCATTTGGATATTTTCAGATCTGGAATTTCCAGTCTCTACTGAACCAAAGGTAAAAGGAGCTGTTAAGCCTGCTTGAAAACTACCGCTACATGACATCACAAGGTGAAACAGCATTTTGAGAGATGGAGATGCTGACACTGTTACTCTAACATGTGTGAATGAAACAAAACACAATTCCAAGCATGTTTTGGTTAACAACTTTCTAACACGGCTGAAAGCTCACATGAGTCAATTTTGCATAATAGAGGACGTTAAGTTATATATCTCCATGGAGACAAGCAGGTGGCATGAGCAGGCCGAGTTATAGGGCAGAATTTAAAGCCACAGTGTGAGACATTCCAGGAAAAGTGAGAATAATCTCATTAGGGTTGGGCATCATTAAAAAGTTGCAGATACAATACATATCTCGATACAGTGCACTTTTGATTTGATACAATATGTTTCAAATCAATCTGATACGGTTCAATAAAAAAATAAAGGCTGTGATACTAAAAGTCTTTGTTAAAGTTACACCACTTCTTGTGCAAAGTTCATAGGAAACACGCCTATAATCACCACAACAGTGAAAATGTCAAATGTGTTGCATAAAAGAGTTTCCTTCCACTAAACAAACAACAAAACTGTAGCGGTAACAAAATAATTTAGTAAAATACACCAAACAATACTCTTAGTGATATAATGATACAGCAGTCCGTGATATCAAGACTGTATCATCACATTAAACCATATGATATATCGATATTATGATATTTTTGCACACCCCTAAGTCTCATGCTCCTACTATGAACCTGCATGAAACTGAAGTCAACTTTATGGATACCCTCCAGGGACAATAAAGTGTACCTTGTACAGTTTTGTACAGACACTTTGCAACATTAAACTGTCACATTAAACATGTATTTTCCTTTGACAACCTCATGTGAACCAGACACAAGTCAAAATTCTGCCTTATAGTTTAGGTCCAAGGTTATGGCCAGATGAGGTGTTACATGCAGAAACCTCACTCTATTGTGGCTCACTTCCTGTCATAGTTCACTTTAAAACAGCAACAACAATAAGCTACGTTTACCCAATAACCCCAAGATAAACTTTACCACCACTGCTATATGTTCAGATCGGGTGCATTCAGACTTAGAGTTAGACTTAGACACACTTTATGAATTCACACGGGAAATTATTTGGACACAGCAACAACAAAGAGCAAAAAATATAAATGGTAGCGACACATTCAGATCTGTGGAGAGTCGCTGCTGTTCACAGAAGGAATTATTGTATTTTAGAGCAATAGAAACACCTATAATCAATAAATGCTAGCTGGATATGTTAAATGTCACACCATGGAACATTCCAGGGAAAGCAACAACATCTCCATGGAGACAAGCAGGCTAGGTAGTGAACCCTCTCATCAGAAATGTTACGCAGTGCACCTTTAACAATGTCTCATACAAAGATCTTTTTGTCTGTATAGTCTAGATCAGTGGTCCTCAAACTTTTCACACTAAGTACTGCCAAAGAAAAGATTTGGCTTTCGGAGTGCCATGGGAACTAAACCCGGACTATAACAGGACTATTTCAGGTCTAATCTAGGACTAAACCCAGTCTATAAAAGAACAATTCCAGGTCTAATCTAGGGCCAGACCAGGTCTATAACAAGACTATTCCAGGTCTAATCTAGAACTAAACTAGGTCTATATCAGGACTACTCCAGGTCTAATCTTAGGTTCAACCAGGTCTATAACAGGACTATTTCAGGTCTAATCTAGGGCTAAACCTGGTCTATAACAGGACAATTCCAGGTCTAAACTAGGGCTAAACCAGGTCTATATCAGGACTATTCCAGGTCTAATCTAGGGCTAAACCTGGTCTATAACAGGACAATTCCAGGTCTAATCTAGGGCTAAACCTGGTCTATAACAGGACAATTCCAGGTCTAAACTAGGGCCAGACCAGGTCTATATCAGGACTACACCAGGTCTAATCTAAGGTTCAACCAGGACTATAACAGGACTATTCCAAGCATAATCTAGGACTAAACCAGGTCTTAAAGTGGACTACATTATTTCCACTGTTCACTGCAAAAGGCAATATCTAGGTTAAAGTTAAAATGACTTAAATTAAGAACATTTTACTTTATTTGAGTTGATTCAACTTGACAAGCAAAATTATCTACCAATGGAACAAGTAATAATTAACTTAATAACTAATCACAATTAATCAATAACGAGTCATAGCCCTAAACTAATAAAAAAGTGTATTTTAATCTACCAAAATGCAAACTAATCCCCGTCTCTTAAACACTGCAGGTAAAACGTCATTACTTGGCTTCTGTAATGACACGATGACAAATGCGGAGAACAGAAACAGGAAGTGGTCTTGTGAGTGGTGTAAAAGGCCTAAAGAGTACAGGCCTGCTCTGAAATGAGGAGTGGCAGGTCCATTAGTGGGACATTTCCACTGGTGTTTCCTCACTCAGAGCAGAGCTGTATATGAGGCCAGAGATTTCATTTTACCTCCGAGGTGCTCTCTCTCCCTCTCTTTCTCTCTCTCTCCCTCTCTCATCTCAGCTCATAACATTTAGAACTTTACGCTCAGTGATTCAGCACAAAATTCAGAACAGCGTAAACCATCAGGCCCCTGTTGTTCTGCAGCAGGGTTGTCAAAAATCGAAATCAGATTTGAGCAAGTATCGATACTAAAAAAGCTACAGTCACAGAACAGAAAAGAACCTTTCCTGAACAGCTTTAAAATTATTACACAGATATGGCAACACATCGTAATGTTCAAAATCATTTTTTTTCTCTAAAGAAGGGATCTATATTACACTATTTTCTGATCTATGTTATAGTGTTTCCTTGTCAAAAATATACCTGGAATTATGGTTTGTTTCATTCACGCATGTTTTAACACACAAACGCTGCATATTTAGGCTGAGTTCTTCTCTCAAACTGAAAACACTGCTTGTGAGTAGGCCTGGGTATCATTAAGAAGTTGCCGATACGATACATACCTCGATACAGTGCACTTTTGAGTCTATACAATATATTTCAAATCAATTAGATAAGGTTCAATAAAAAATAAAGGCTAAATCATGGCTGTGATACTAAAAGTCTTTGTTAAACCACTTCTTGTGCAAAGTTCATATAAAACACAAACATTTTAATCATAAAAACAGTGAAAATATCAAATGTGTCGCATAAACGATTTTCCTTCCATTAAACAAGCAACAAAACTGTAGCACTGTAACAAAATAATTCTGTAAAATATACAAAAAAAAAAAAAACTCTTGGCGATATATCGATACAGCAGCCCACGATATCGATACTGTATCATTACATTAAACAATAAGATATATTGATATTTCAATATTTTTGCACACTCCTACTTGTGAGGTCATGTGGTAATACAGGAAGTGCTCCATTATGTTTTTAAACTCCATACATCTTCACTAGACTCATTTGGATGATTTCAGTCCTTGAATTGTCAGTTTACTGAACTAAAAAAGGTAAAAAGTAACAGTTAACTTGAAAACTACCACGACATGACATCACAAGGTGGAACAAAGCATTTTGAGATGTAGACAGAGTTACTCAAACATGTGTGAATGAAATAAAACACAACAACAACAACAACAACATTCTAACATGGCTTCAAAGCTCACAAGAGTCAATTTTTGCATATCATTGTGGTATCAGAATCAGTACTGGGTATCAAGTTTATTCCTTAGTTTCAAAGTCAAAAGTTTGCAACGTTAGTATCACGACAACACTAGATTCAGCACAAAATTCAGATGTGCATGCAGCATCAGTTGGCTCTTGTTCTACAGTACAATATAAAAGCTCCCTTGAAGAACATGAACTATTTTTGCAAACTGTTATGGTGCCCACTGCTCTGAACAAGCTGCCCTAATAACACTGAAGGACAAAAGTAAGAGGACAGTTTTCAACAGGACTTAAAACTATTGCACAGGGAGACACTGTTCCAAGTGTGCTAGTTTCAAAGTATCAGGAGTTTGAAATGGATTTTGCACAATTGTTAAAGAGCCCGTTTTACATTATTTTCTGATCTGTTATAATGTTTGGTCATTACACATACCTGGAATTGTGTTTTGTTTCATTCACACAAAACCTGCATATTTAGACAGAAAACACTCTGTTCCACCTTGTGATGTCATGTGCTAATACAGGAAGTGCGCCACTGTGTTTTTAAACTCCACACACCTTCATTCTAGACATTTGGATGATTTCAGATCTGGAATTTCCAATGTTGACTACAACTACATGACATCACAAGTTGGAACAGAGCATTTTGAGCTTTGGAGATGACTAATAATACTTATTCAAACACTAGCAGTCAGTCAGTTTTACGTAATCTCGGACCTTTATTGGAAAACCTTATGTCAAGCTGTGATTTGACCAATTTCAACAAAACTAATGATGCATAGACACTTGTATTGTATAAATCGACACTGAATATTTGCTGGATCGGGTATTGATTGTTATGGTACAATGTTTAACTGGATGTAATAAGCCTATTTACTGACTAATGTAGACCCAGAATGTCTCATAATGTTTGAACTGTTTTTTCATACAAAGATTCCTAGTACTAGCATGACAAATAACAGTTACGTAACAAAATTTGATACATTGTGTAATAAGTGTTTTGAGGAAAAAAGATTGCTTTCATCAGTTTTGAGTAAAATATCGATATTAGGACTGAAA